AACAGCATTTCCACCCAGGGCAAGGGCCTCCAATTGCACATTAAGTACCAGGTCACAGATCTAACTTCATCCAAACTGGGGCCTCAGCATGGGAAAGAAAGAAAATCCTCCTTCTCCCAGAAGGAGAAATTGCATTGTTTGAATGCTGCAGTTTTGTTTTCTGACTTTGATCACAAGATTTCCTGAAATTTTCTCACCTATAGATGTGTAGTSTACTCTGCAAGCAATTTGTGCCAATTCATCTATTTTTTTGCAGCATTCTTACAATATTATAGCATACTAACCTTTTTTTTTCCCCAAACATGTAAAACTGGGGGCAAAATTTGTTTACATAAATTATACAAGCACTTTGCATTCAGGGAAAGAATTCGTTTTTGCAAAGCCAAAAACTGAAAACATCAGATTGCAACCMATTTCTTTACATCCAGGTATCTAGGGAACCATGTAAGGTTTTTTTTTTTTTCTTTTCTGTTGTTTTACTACATAGATTCTTTAATATGTGAGGCAAGCAAGCACAATTTCATTAAATTGGAGAAGAGAAAGGCAGAGGCACTGAACTGGTACAATTAGAAGGCTCAGATTAGTAATTTGTGACAGCTAATCTAATCTTTTAGCAGCAAAGAAAGTACAGAAGATTGTTTGTCTGAACTTTTTACTGATGCTTCATTAATCTACTTGCTCACATATATCTAAATGGTGCTGTCACCATGTGCCATATCCCCAGGCAGATAAACATGGGAGCAGCCCTACCTTTGCATCCACAGGAAAAAAAAAAAAAATCCACAGTGCTTTAAGTGATCATTTGCAATGAAAAAATTCCTCATTAGCCATTTTTACTGAGCAGACACCACTTGGCACCACGGCCAGCACCTCTGTCTGTCCACACCTTCAGCTTCCCACCCTGGAGTTAAAAGATAAACAACCTTTCCCTGCCTTCCAAACTGYCACTCTGAAAGCCACCCATGGGCAAAATCACAGCTACTGCAGGAAGTCGTTAAATAAATTAAGTGCATGCCTCAACCCATCATTTGAATCAATGTATATAAAACACGGCAGCAAATAACACAATAAACTGTATTTGCAGTTTTATCTTCATTTGCATTTACTTGTTTAGTATTTAAATCATTTTTTTTTTTCAGCACCTGGCAGAAGTCATTAATATTATATTTAATTTGTAWATGCRTTACAGCATCATCCAGAAACACAARGTGCAGGAGCAAYATGCCAAACACAACATCTTGAAAAATTTCAAMCTAATTTAACAGCATTGGTATTTTGGATTCTAGGTTGATCTCTCTTAGGTACCGTATGCAATTCTCTTCAACCAACAGCTTCACACAGGAGGAACTTTCTAGATAAAGGTAAAATATAAAGTACCACAGAGTCTGAGAACACAGAAAATTCTCCTTTGGGTTTTGCTTTTATCAATGAAGTTGACAACAATTAAACCTCAGAAGCTGCACGCCTAAACAACACAGGGCAATTTATTTTGAGTTTGTTTCTTCATGTGTAACCCGCCAGTTAACAGGCAAACCCCAAACCCATCATCTCCTTGGTAACAAACTGAGCCCAGCAAGAAAACGGAAAAACTCTCCATGGATGGCAGCTGGAGGGCCCTGGGCCAGTGTCAGTGAATGGGACAGCCAGGCCTYCCCAAAAGGAATTGTCAGACATTTCTCACACTCAGACCCACAACCCTGCACCGACAGATTGTGTCAAGGCTCCACTGCCCTAATTCCAGTGGGGTTTGGCACATCCCACACTCCAGCCATTCCAAAGGACAATTCCCCCTCTCCCCTTTCCCCGTGTCTGGTGTTGGCTGTTTGTGCTCCTGCACTGAGAAATAGCTGATGAATATCTCCCTACCTGCACAAGTGAAACTGGATGGAAGGAACCTGTTATTGATGGCACAATACATTATAATGGAATTTTATATAGATCTTATGGATTTTCTCCCCCTTTACCTTTGAGCATTATTTCAGAGAGAGGTTTAAGCAAGAGTCGACCTGACTTTTGTTTTAATCTCTCGACTATGACAATATAATTAAGCTGTGAATGATATATCAAAGTGCCATAYACAAAGATGAATTGACAGGAGTAATTTTTACTACTCAGAAGCCTTTGGTTTCATACATCATAATATCCTGTAAAGCAAGCCCATGACATCTGCTTGACTGTAAAAGCATTAGCTCGGTACAAACCTCCATTCATCCTTCAAAAACGGATTTGTGCTTTCTGCTTATTGCCACCACTACCTGCACTACTGCAGTGGAACCTGCATCATTCATTATTTCATTTATTTATTAACTACTCACCACAAACAGAGGGCAGAACATGCCATTTTCCTGCATGGCAGTGTTTCATATGAACGCTCAACATGTTTTGCTTCTTTTGTAGGCGCTGAAGAACAAATTTGGCATATTGGTGGCCTTGGCAGGACTGGGTGGACTTAATGGCTGGACTCAGTGATTGTAGAGGTTTTTACTTAAATGATTCTTTATCTCATTTGGATCCAGATAGGTCTCCTCTTTTTTATTATTTTTTCTTTTTTAATGACTTCTTTTTTAATTAATTTTTTAGTAAACAAAAAGGAAGGGAAGATTCATATTCAAGCTCTCTCTGCTTCTCATTTCAGACTGGAGAGGATCTTAGTTTTGTACCTACAAGAACAAGAACCTCATTTACAGCTAAGATCCTAAGGCACWGCTGTAATGCAATTATTATTATCATCACCATCACTATCAGTCCAATCAATCTGACTGTGTGCTTCTAATGAGTTCGTRTCTTAGGGCAGTTTATGTTCAGGMTGTTTTTTTGTGRTTTTTTTGTTGTTAAATAACCATTCTTTGCAGMAAATAAATTGAAAGCTTGATCAAAAAAAAATTAGTATTTAGAGAGCAACTATGAAAAATCTGATTATAGCAAAACATTATCAAGAAGAGCAGATTAACCCAGCTCGTTTGGGGGGTGAATTGTATTTTCTGGGTTAAGAGATACGACTTTGCCAAGAGGCAATTTCYTTATATCTTTGCTTCTTCTGTAGAGGAATAAAATAATTTCCTTGAAATAAATAAATTACACAGGAAAGATTAAATATCCTCCCACAGAGGCCATGCGTAGAAGGAATATTTGCTATTTAAATAACTGTTTTAGCAAAACAGAAATTCGGGAAATTTGTTTTCTGCGCATTTCTGTGTGATTCATTCCAGTGAATCTCCCCACCTTCCTCTGAGAAAGCCAGGAACAATTCTTTCTTGGCTATCAGATACCAGAGAACCTCCAACTAGGAAAAGAAAGCCTAGAATTAATTTGTTCTTATCTGATAAAACACTCTGCTACAGAAGTCCCAATTGTGAATAATCACCATTCCACCACATGAACCAGTCCTTTGTGTATGGATTTACACTGTCAGCTGCAAGCTTGGTACCGAAGCCACCATTTCCAAGGCAAGCAAATAAAGAAAAGTGAAGGTGAAAAACTTTTTCATTATCTTAGAAGACAGCCTATTACCTCTATCACTTTCTCAGATATCCATCCATCCACACCTAATGAGTGCTATGATTTAGTCAGAACGCATCCATAAAGATGATTCACGACTGCTATGCAGCCACTTGATGTTAATAGCAAAGCTGATGTCTTAAATCACAGCTGTTTCCCTACGATAGCCAAGGGGCAAGGCAMTACTTTGGAAAACACAGGGAAGAATTTGTTAGAGCAACTCTACAAAAGCAACATTTGCAAGAAAAATGTAAAGCAAAACATCAGGGTTGAAAGTATTACAGCCAAAGCGCTAAATAATATCAGATGCTGCATAGTAATCTGCATATGTTAATACTGCCAAAAATTTACTATATCTAGGTTAAAAACTCCTGTATTTAATTTTAGTTTTATCTATAATTAGTTCTTGTTGTTCCACTAGCACAGTAACCTGTATAGCCTTAAAAAAGAGGCATGTAAAATGTCATTCTTTCTTGTGTTAGTAAGCATTTCAMCACAACTGAGACGAGTAAATTTCAACAAAACTAAGTCTGATTAAGTTAAATTAAAGTCTGATTAAAGTTAAAGAGATTTGCTGATGTTTAATTATATTGATTAAGCAACAGATAACGCAGTATGTTAAGAGTACCAGTACTAAGCCAGAAAGAAACACCAAATGACTCAGTGTCTCCAGGAAAATTACTTACATTCCTCAATTTGAGCTGGTAACTAAGTTCTGCTGGATCACAGAGCAAAAAGCGTTTTASCCTTTCGAATTGTCTCCACATCCACTGCACTCAGAGGCAATTTGACCCAGAAACCCTTAATTTATGTAGGTTGCAGACTCTGGAGCATTAAAGAATATTAAGCTTTACAGCCAGGAAGGAAGGAACCCATGAGGAAATTTGGCACCACACAAAAGATGACAATTAGGCACAAGATATCCATCAGCTCTTGGAAATCTCTTAGCAGACACAAAGATTAAGAGATGTTGCAGCATCCAGCTCTGTTGAGAAATGTTGAGAAATTTCTTTACTAGAACCAACAATCCCTGACATTTCACTCACTTTCAGCAAGGGCTCCTGTTGCCTTACTCATCACTATTAAAAACACCTAAATGAATCCTGCAGGATTTCTGAGAAAGCAGTGAACAGGCTTTGATTTTGCAAAGCACTGTCTGGTTCCTGCCTCCATCCTTCTGGCCAGTAATTTTAACAATAGAAATACTCAACTCAAGTTCCCATCACCAACCAAATCGTATTTTTAACAAGGAATAAAATGACTGCCAAAAACTAGGGGGGGAAAAAAAATACAGAGACAGGAACATGATGTGCATACACCCAAGCAAAGTGGAATAATTGCACAGATTAAGTAGGTCAACTACAGGTATAGAWTTCTTTTAAGATGATCCAAAAAAGGTATGAGAAATCGCATGTGAAGACACGCTCCAAGAGAATTCCCTTCCCAAATGCAAACAGGTTTGTCTTACTCAAATCAAGGGAGGCAAAACTGAAACCACCTACCCTAAGGAGCTCCCGCTGGAAAGCAGCTCCTATTTCTCAACTCGCCCGCTGCAAAGTTGCTGTGGAATAACCGGAGTGACGGCCGAGCACGCGTCGCACAACTACTTCTGCACGGTATTTTTGTCAGGTGATTGGTAACCAGGAGCCTGGATTGGATAGGAAATTACCTTCTTTACTACTGCTGGCTGGTGTTTTGCATTGCAAGGAGCTGCTGCTCGAAATACGGGAATACAGCAACTGGTGTTTTCCTCGCGGGGAGCTCTGGAGTTTTCTGTGACTRTTTAGATTTGCAATGTGATTTTCAATGCAATGCTAAGCCCGTGTATCCAAAACAAAAAGGTGAAAGAAGGTCAAGAACTGCCCTGCTAAAAACAAGCCTTCCRTTTCAGGGGGAAAGAAGAGGGGCTACTTTTGAAAAGAAAAAAAATCTCTCAGGAAGAAATTGCCGATTACTCTTGGGAATCTTGATCAGTTTGATTAGCGGGTTTTGGTGGGGGACATAAAAGACACGAACACACATGCAAATTTCCTCCAGCTGCTAAATGCACATGGAGATTTGTGATTTATATGTGCCTTCAACCATCAGGAGTCTCTTAACCTTGTGAAACTGTCATTACTTTCTTCCTAATTTTTAAAAAGTAATTTTAAAAGAGAGAAGTTGGAATGGAGTCAACAAGGCTCAAGCAGGCCATCAGAAGAACCTCTCATTTCTGAAGTGCTGAAACATTAGGTTTATAATGAGAAACGGATGCCAATCCTAAATAAATCTGAGGTTTTCCCCTTAGCTACGCACATGGCTCAAACAGGAGGTGCTTCAGCACACCAGTTCAAAAAAGCCCCTGGAAATCTGCATTTCCCAGGCACAGGGGCACACACAGAGCCCCTGACTGATCAGAGATCAGCACCAATGGGACATTTTGTTACAAGCCAGATCAGTCTGCCCTGTGACCCTCAAAGGGGGAAATCACAGATTCCTGAAGGCACCTGCTCGGGAAAGGATGAAAAATTCCAAGCTGGGGAAAACTCTCGCCTCTATGCCTCACTCCATCACACAGAACTCCTGTCTGAAGTAAAGCAGCAGAGTCAGAGTGAGAAGAACACTCCCTGCTCCCTACCTGAGAGAAGCAGCGAGGAGACATCGCTGTCCGTGGGATTCCGTGTTTAAAATTCCTGCATGGCAACGCTGACACACAAACTGCTGCCACCACACCAGGTGGGAGTCTCCCAACACACGAAATCCTGCCTGGGTTGGCAATCCTGGCTCAGAGCCTCCAGCTGAACAAAGAACATGATCTTCCAGATAAGGATATTCATTAAATAAAAACACACAACTTCCCATGGCTGGTTAAGTTCCCTACTCCCATCTCCACCCAAATACCAAAATCTGAGGATATTAAATAACTGTAAACATGGTTAGAGATCATTACACACGTTTTTCTCCAGGGTGAATGGCAGCATTATTAGTGCAGGAGGAAAAAGAGACTGAAACAAAGCAGAGCAAGCTACTGAAGAACAACCTGTCATTGTAAATTAATGGAGTTTTTGGATTCTCCAGGAAATTTCCTGAAGTTTCTTCCTCCTCTTTATAATGTCACGCTTCTAATTTACTTCATTTATATTAATAAACACTGGATTACACAACTATTAATCTAGTTGAGAACAGCACTAAAGCTCACTAAATCTGTCTCTAATTATTATGATTAATGGTGCAAAATGATCAGCTTCTCAAATTAACAATCTAAAGCAACTGGTATAGGATAAAAGATATTTTTCTCAGTAAACAGGTTCTTTAGTCTTTCTAGTTAATGAAATCTTGAGCAGTCCATTCTGTAGTACTAYGTTCTAATTCACCATGACTACCTGTTTATGTAAATTTGCATTGATTATGCTGTCATTATGTATTTATTAAAGACTAATTATTTTTAAATTGCACTAAAACTTTGTCTCATGCTTATTTTAACACAGCAGAAAGAGGTCTTCAGGAGCTGACTGCCTTRGCCTTGCTCTTTTGTCTCTGTATCCAGAGGCTGTACTATTTTTTTTAAACTACTCTTACTATTCACCAATATTAATTTTCAAAGGAAAAGTTCTCCATTTAATACCTAAGCTTTGCAAAACGTGCCCTGACACTTCAAAGATTCATTAACAAATTTAGAAAGAATACCACACAGTACTGTAGGAATTACTGCTATTACTATATTCCTCCATTACTTCTGAGATTACTACTCCAAAGTCTGTTACTTCACAGAGATTTTTAAAGAACATGAAAGCGATATGATCATGCAACCTAAGTTAATTGTATCGTTTACAAGACTCTAAGGAGAGTCTTCTGAAACCCAAAAGAAAATATCACATATTTTTAGTTCTGAGACCCTTAGATTTGGGTTCCTACACTGGCAATTCTATCCAGCCATCAATGAACACAGTTGCAAGGTCTAACACAAATGTCAACTCCAAAATATGGGAAAAAAAAGAGAAAATTATGGTAAGCTCATCCTTTATCATCTGCAAACTAAAAAAAGCTTCTCCYACCCCTTAAACACARAGCATCYAGCAAGGACCACATCTACCACACARATTTCCAAAGAGGAAGACAAAGAGCCCCCCAAGCACCACAACACAGAGTGAGCACTAAGAGGAGACGAAAGCCCTTCAATAACATTCAGATGAATGGCAGTTTCCCTTGCCATTTAAGACACACTGAAACTTCTGTGTCTTCTCTCCTAAACAAGGATTTATAGCCCTTGCTCAGTGCCTTTTCACCAGCAGTATTTTTTCTCCAGCGTCTCTCATCAGTAAGGCTTTTATTTTTTTTTTTTTTTCCCCCCATGAACTAAAAACAAGAACAGCCCTGCATGGAAAATTAAGCCCTGAAGAACATAATGAGAAACTTTCCCACAGCTGCAGGGAGCCTAAGGGATTTTTCATTAAGAATTAGACTTCAAACTATATTGATATGGTCGATGCCATGGGGATGAAATGTGTGTCTCATGAGTGGCAAAGACAGCTGATGTTTCCAGTTTGTCCTTCCTCATCACAATCCATTCCTAGGACCACGGGAATTATATTTAACAATGTGCATCCATTGCAAAGAGCCAGCATAATGTCCATGTTTTTTATTTCTCCTGCTTTTGTCTTATGGCATTATAATGCGCAATACCATTGTGGCAGTTGGGCTTCTACTACAGGTCTGACATTTCCACTGGGAATTTTTTGTAGGTTATGATACATGGGAAAACTTGCAATATTTATTCAGCAGATCCTCCTGAACCAGGTATTAACTGCATCCCTCCATAGCATTCTCCCAAAGTAGATGCCACACATTTCATGGTCCCGGCAGTTCTGTTTCCCTCTTTTTGCAGTAAGTTTGTATTAATTCAGAGGAACTATTTTTTTTTTTACTCAGGACTGAGAAGTAAAAACAGAAATGCTACTTTCAAATAAGGATTGAAGAGCTAACAGAACTTATAACACTGCTGGTGAAGAACTTGCTCCCACTTGAAGATTCCTCTTAAAAATTTCAAATTACATGCCCAGTTTAAACAAGTTTGTGTTCATTGCTTCTGTCATCATCTGAGTTAATAACATTCATTCTTTAGCACACGTGAGTAACCAAGGCAGCAAAGATGAAAAGAGAAAGCCAATAGCTAAAACAACTGGTTTGGCAGCTGCATGGGAGAAACAGGAGTGGTTCAACCACTAAATTCTCACATAGAGAGTCTGGGAATGCCCTGCAGAGGACTGCTTAGGACACTACTGGCTGGTGTGTGGGAAACCTGAGTACCAGACTGTTTCAACATGAGAGGCACATTTGAATGCTCTTCAAAGCAATTGTGAAAGTCATGCAAAACCCACTCMGTTCTGCTTGGAAGGTTATTGGGAAATGGCAAATTACTCATTGCTGYGTGGTTTTCCTTCTGTTTCCTTGCTCAAAATGCCAGAGCTTGTAACTAACCTGAAAAAATCTCAAAAAATACTTCTGATACCTGAAAAACTCATTGAATGCACCCCAGACACTGCTGCACTGTGATCACCCCTCTGTGAGATGAAATGCGAAGATGAAAAGTGGACAAAAACTACTTTAAATGAAGGGATTGCACTATAYCCACAACTAGGAGATGTAACTGCAATAGAAAGTGTTGAGATATTGTGTCTTGCAGATTCCTGAGTCACAGAGGTGAGAGGGGACATGGGGAACATTGCTTCTAACGCTGGAAAGCATCTAATATATAATATTGTAATTAAGCCTCATATAACCAACTTAAACATTTAAATCTCTCTTTTCTCTCTCTCTTTTTTTTTTTTTTTTTTTTTTTTTTTTTTTTTTTTTTTTTTTTTTTTTTTTTTTTTTTTTTTTTTGACTGATCCATTCTACAGAACATGGTTCTAACACCTCTCCTCTGGGGAAGGAGATGAAAAAGGAAATTGCCAGTTTTACTCAGAGGTAATTGGGCTTTACTTWCTTTCTGAAACTGTGGTTTCCTTCCCTTACTGTATCAGCAGAACCTGGAAGAACGGTTTCATCACTTCTGTGACACCCTGACTAGTACTTTCACTTACTTTTCCTGAACTAGYAAGAAATTCTCATCGCACTGAAGAGTAAAACCATCTGAACTTCATCTGCTTTCATGTCTCAACAAGAAATTTCACACGACTYTATCCATCCAAAGTAACCCTACAAAGTCTAGGGGCTTCCTGCTGCATTTCTTAGCTCGGACTAAATCAGCCAGAATAGACAGACCCACATGCAGACATCCTGAAACCTACAAAATTGTGGTTTCCTTCTGTGCATGTACAAGATAAACATAATTTGTGAAGGCGTTTATGTGTATAGGATTTCCCAGTGCTTCATATGACACACTTATGAGTTCATGAAACACACTTGAGTCTGATGTCACCTATTATTTTATATCACCATCACTCCCCTCTCCTCTGTTAACATGAATTTTCATTTAGGGAAGAAGATTCAAACATGTCAGGAGAATTTCAATAGTAGCTGAATGGATGAAGGCAATTTGGAGTCACAAATATATTTGCCCCATTAGGACTATTTTACTAATGCCACCGTGAAAAGACAGMAATACCAGGTACCACTTATGGAATGACATTCTTGCTCATGATGGCTGTTAAAAATTGTCCCCAGAGCTAAATTTCACATTAGCAATTAAATTGAGGGGATGTGGAACAGGAGTTCAAAGAAAAAAAAGCATACAAATGCTGAAAAACCCATTTAGATCAATAAACCTTAGAGTTACTAATTTAGTCATGCTAAAATCCCCTTTATTTTTTTTTTATTTTGCCATCTTTTATAAGGGGTTGATCTTATTTAGGTGCCACATTAAAAATATTATCAAAAGATGACAATGCATCATACAGGCATCGCTGCTGTGAGCACCAGGTTTTGCAGAGAATTCAGGGAAAATATAATTTACTGCAAAGACAATGTCAAGCTGGGTTTTGGACCTCTGAGTGAATAGGAAACATACATCCCCAGCGGATTCCCAACACATTCCATACAAAATTCTCACTGATTGCAAAAAGAAAAGCCTGATAAAAAAAAAGAGACAGTCTATAGGGTTCCCAATCAATACACTCCAACGATGTAATTGCACCTGTCCACGTTCTCTACAGATAAATGAAAAAAGGGTCCATTTTGTTCTCACATCTGGGAGCCAATTAAGCCACATTCAAGACACTAGAAACTGCTGTGACATACAAAGTCTAGGACTAACAAAACCTTGAAGACTTTGGAATCTGTTCACACTGAGAAAAGTCAGTGCAAAGTTTCTTTTTAAAAAAAATAAAATTATCCCGCTAAATTTACATTATACAATTGTACCACGTGCCAACTGCTGAACAATGAGAACTAACAAATGCTCWGTGCAAGCTTCAACACTTCACAAATAGGTTTTTTATTTTTGAAGACAAAGTCCTGTATTATTTCCTACCTTCAACATCACATTCAGTGTTTAGAGTTTTAGAACCACCTTAGGTATCCCAAAGTCACGATGAAAGGAAGCAACACCAGAACAGACAAAAGCCAAACATCTTTGAAACAGGCAAGGTTTGCAATTCTCCATGCCRAGAGAAAATTACAATCCTTAAGGTAGAAATTGGTTAGATAAAGGATGCAAATAGTGAAGGACTGAAAGGCCTAGTAAAGAGTAAGAAATTCCACCTTGGTGGTCGTAATCTGCATTTTATCAATCTGCATTCMTTTGAAGTYTCATTAAAACAAGRGCCTGCTGTCGTGAGAAACTAGATTATAGATCAATGTAGATACGTTTAAAGAATAA